GGGGCGCCGGCCCCAAGGGGCCGCCCGCCTCTCAGGTCTCAGGGACCCCCTCCCCACCCCATCCCCACCATGACCCCTGCCGCTCACCGACCATGGCGTGCAGGTGCTCCCCCGCGGCGCCAGTCGGTGCGTGGCTGGTGTTCCAGAGCTCGGGGGCGAACGCGCCGGTGCAGCAGACGTCGTACAGATCCTCCGGCCAGAAGCGGCGCCTGAACGCGCACACGACCTGCCGCGGCGCGGCGCGCGCCAATGGTGGCGGAGCCGTCAGCGTGCGTGTGCGCGTGGAGGCGGCGCCCCCTGATCTGGGGCGCGTCTCGGGGGCCAGGGAACCACCGCCAGCGCGCTGCCTGGTGGTTGTCCAGCCGAAAGCGGCGGCGCAGCGCGAGGCGCGGCACCCCGCTGGGCCAGCGCGTGGCGTCCGCAGGCCCCCCCTCCCCCAATCGCCCTCACTGCCGCGGCGCCCGCGCACCTTGACTGCGTTGCCCATCCGCAGCCGCTGGATCGCCGCCCGCTTGCGCTCCGGCAGCGGCGGGCTGAATGCAATCTTCCCGGCCTGCGCATTAGGGGAGGACAATCAGGCATGCATTCGCAAACAGCAGCCTCCCGGGCGCGCATGCACCACCGCACAGCCGTAGGTCGGCGGCGCCGCTTCGTTCGGAAGCGCCCCGCACAGTGCGCAGGGGAGCCGCGCCGGCGCCGCCGCCACCGGCGAGCGAGCCTCCGCGCCTGTCCGTCGTTCCTCCCAACCGCTTGCAACAAGAGAAAAAAGGGCGAGGGTTCAGGGTTCAGGGATTCGGTTGCAGTGTGTAGGGTAGCGACAGCCCTTGTCACCTGCAGCACGCGTAGTGGCGCGGTGACCACCACCTTGCGCGCGCGCAGCTCCCGGCCGCCCGGGCCGCGCAGCACGGCGCCGTTTGGTGAGTAGTGGATTGCAGTCACGGGGAAGCTGGTGAGAAAGTCCAGGCCTGGTGACGAGGGGAAGCCATGCATGCGGGGGGATTACGCAAGAGTCACGTGGACTGGGCACGGGCATTAAACAGGAAGTGTCATGTGAGCGAGCTTGGGTGAAGTTGTGGTGAAGTTGAGGACCTGAATACTCTTCAACGGGTTCGGCCGAGGGCGGTTGGCCCCGGACGGCTGCGCGGCAGCCGCCGGGGGCGGCGTGGGGGCGCGCGGGGCCGGGTTGAGTCGCTCACCCTCTGCCAGGCGCTCCACCACGACCCTCATCGACTGGTCTGATATGAGGTAGGTCTCACCAGAGTCCCAGCTGGGGGCGAGGGCGGCAGGGGGCAGGGGGCGGGGACAGGCGGCAGTTGGAGACGGGCTGGACGCGGGCGCGGGCGCAGGCAAGGGCGCGCCAGCCAGCAGCAGGACAAATGGGGGAGGTGCGGCGTACATGTGCGGGGCCGAGTGGACCTCCGACGCTTGGCCTCGCGGCAGCGCTTGCGGCGTCCTCGCCCCGGATGAGGCCATGCGCTGGCCCTGGCCCCACGCGAGTACCCAATCGGCGCGCACGCGACACCCCGCCCCTGGCTTCATGTTTGCTGCCGGCTCGCACCTAATCTACGCAGCACGGAACCACACCCAACGCATGATCACGTTCGCACATACACACACACACACACACACACACACGCACACACACACACACAAACGCACGCACGCACGCACACACACGCACACACGAACCCGTGCGCCGCCCCGCCCCTCACTTGTTATTCTCTACTATCAGCTCCCGCAGCCCCAGTTGCCGCAGCGACGCCCCAAAGTCGTTCGCGTAGCACACATCAGCCACCGCCAGCTGGCGCTCGGTCGCGCCCTTCGATCGCAGCCACGCCTCCGCGCTGACGTCAGCGCCCGGCGGCGGGGGCGCCTCGTCGCCCACAGAGTCAAAGAGCTCGTGGACCTGTTTCGGGCGGAAGGAGGTGCGTTTAATGGACAAGAGGCCGTGATGCTGCCCTGTTGACCCGGCCGGGCCACAGACGTGCAGGCCCGCGCCGCGCCGGCAGCGAGCCAGGCGGCGCGGCGGCGAGCGGCGCCCCTGCTTCGGCCGCTGAGGGCGCCGCAGGCGTCGAGGCACCGGGGCGGGCGCTGGCGCCGCAATCCGCCTCCAAAATCGGCAGGAAGTGCTCATTTAACTGCCAACCCGTGGGGCTGCTGCCACACAGAGCATGCACGCCGCCCCCCTCTGGAACCCGTCTCCGGAGTTCATGTCGCTGAGCCACCAGCCTGGAGGCTGCTAACCCAGCCACACTGTTGTTCGTGGCGCCGCCCTCTGCAACCGGAGCCAAGACAAACCATCACCTCACGCGATGATAATCCGTTCTCATGCATGGCTTGCATGAAAATGCATGAGAAGCATGCAGCACGCAGCATGCTTCAGTAAAAGCATGCATTGTTGGTAGCAGCACACACCACGGCACCCAGCCAATGGGCCCCGCACCTTGTCGACCTCATCGTCCACATCATCATCCTTTACTAACCGCCGTTCCTCCCCAAAGTACCACCAGTCGGGCCACCCCTTCTCGGTGAACTTCAGGCCGAAGTCCTTGACCACCTGGCGGCGGCGCGGCGGTGGGGCCGTGGGCGCCGCGTGCAATCGCGGGCTAGGATGGGACAGGGCCCGGTGGCTGTGCGCACGCGGCTGCCTGGGCAGCCGCGGCCGCGGTGGCTTTGGGCGTGCGCATGAGCTGTGGAGGGTGCGCTCTGTGCGCGGCGCAAGCCAGCAGTCACCTTGTTGCCGGCCGAGCCGCAGCAGGATGGCTGGGGCCAGGGGTTGTGCGCACCAGGCGCCGCCGAGCGGAGGCACCAAATAGAGGGCCCCGTGCATAGTCTCCCGACGTTTGCGGGCCGAGCAGTAGCAATTCGCAAGACAGCGCTCACCTGGTTGAACTTGTGGTTTTCTGCGCCATGAATGAACTCGGGGCCGGCCTCTATGGGCCAGGGCGCCAGGCCGTGCAGCTGTGGGCAATTTGGATTGCGGTTGCATTGGATCCCGCAAGTGGTGCCTCGACCCGTGCGCACGGCGCGCATGGGGCTCAGCGCGTCTGCTGGTGGCTTTTTTTGCGCCTGTGCCTTTACCCACAAGGGCGTATGGCATGATTCCAAGCTTTCACATGGCACGTGCGATGGAGCAGCGCGGCGACGCGCATCGCGCTGTCGCCGCTCATTGGCGGCGGCTTTCCCGATGCAGCTCCGCACTGCCCGTGGATAATCACTGAACCAATACAATTGCATGGCACGGAACCCACCTGCCGAATACGCCCACCAATGTCGGAATAGGCCTCCACGACGAGAACATCTGCAATCCCAGCTTTTTTCAGCTGCTGTCCCGCGTATAGTCCCGCCAAACCGGACCCAATAATGATACAACTGTACTCCTTCCGCTCCATCCCGCCCTCTTGATGCCAGGGTGTGGCTGCGGGTGACTTGAAAACAAAGAACGAGGACGCAAAGTCTAGGTGATTGTGTACGTGCGCGACTTACTTCAACGTTTGTGTAATAGGCTCTGCACATGGGCATACAGCAGACGGCTTTCTGGCGGCCGGCAAGGCCGCGATGCGCTTGCGATGGCGACATTTGCCCGCTCCGCTCCTGCTCGCGCCAAATTAGAGACTTGTTTGAGCCTTGTGGGTGGCGTGACTGATATTGGGGTTGCACTCTTGCACACTGTGCATGCCAAACCCGTGGCCGCTTCTGGTCCTCCAAACAGCGCCAGCCACCCGTGCCCGCATTTGGTGGGTGCAAACCTTCGGTCAAAGGGCCGGTCAACCGCAATCAGGGGGCGCAATCCAACCCGTTGTAGACGCCTTGGATCTCCATCCCGTATCTTGAGCGAACCTGTTGCTGACTGTACCCATACGTGCTGCACCCTGACAGCTGACACACTGCCATCGCCTCGCCCTCACACCAAGCCGCCCCACTGCTCAAGGCTTACTCCAAGGTTGTGACAGGACATATATAATCAAGGTGAACAAAAGGGTATTCAAGGGTATGACACAGTTTGCTAGCCGACCAAGCAAGGCCACGGTGTGTATCTTGTTTTGTTCCTGCGCACTGGGAGCGCCGTCATGACATCAACATCAATCCCTCATGGCCCCGGCCCAACATCCCCACATGGCAACAGAAAGAAGCCCCGCCCACCCACGCCCAAATGCCCCCACGCCCAGCCATGAAGCTGCCCCTCAACCCGCGCGTCGCGACGCGCCGCCCTCGCCGCCCTCGCCGCTGCCGCCC